TACCAACTAAACATATCAATTTATGTAAGTCACTTGTCTGCTTTGTCTTTAAATTTCCTCTTTAAAAAAAATAAATACTTCTTTATACAGCTCAAAGAATTGAGAAAGTAAAATTAGACACTTATACATTTAAGGAGATAATTATATATATAATTAATAATATATATAAATATATATACAATGAGATAATTTTATATATTTTAAAATTTTATTCCTGGGTCTTTCATTTTTCTCAGAATTGATTATTCTACTCTTTTTTTTTAAAGTTTATTTATCTTCGAGAGAGAGAGAGAGAGAGAGAGAGAGAGAGTGAGGGGGGAACAGAGAGAGAGGGAGACACAGAATCAGAAGCAGGCTCCAGGCTCTGAGCTGTCAGCCCAGAACCCGAGACGGGGCTTGAACTCACAAACTGTGAGATCATGACCTGAGCTGAAGTCAGATTCCCAACCAACTGAGCCACCCAGGCACCCCTCTACTTTTTTTTTTTTTTTCAGTCTTGATCTTCCAACTGCATGGGATATCTTTTTCTAGATTGCTACAGATGATGAATGTTAGCTTAGGAAGTCACACTACCAGTCACTACTATGACAGTCTGATTTTGAGTCTAGCAAATCTCGGTTTTTGTTAGTAGACTTTTATTTCTTTAAACTGTATTTGAAATGTTTATGTCCATAAATAACAGCAGCAAGAATTATGATTATATATATGTAACTTATTAAATTCAACGCCATTATCTTCTCCATTTTACAGATAAGGAAATTGAGGTTAATCTCCTATGCTTCTAGTCCACGGTTCCTATGTATTTTGGGCATTGTCTTCTATTACCCTTCTTTGATTTAGTAATTTGAATAACTCAGGCTATTTTCAACCTCAGGGCCTTTGCACCAGCGGTTTCTACTTCTAGAACATGAACGCATTCTTTTTTATTTTTTTAAGTTTATTTATTTATTTTGAGAGAGATAGAGAGAGAGAGAGAAAGCTAGGGAGGGGCAGTGAGGTGAGACAAACTCTCAAGCAGGGTCCACACCATCAGTGCAGAGCCCGTTATGGGGCTCGAACTCACAAACCGTAAGATCATGACCTGAGCAAAGGTCAAGAGTCAGCCGCTTAACCGACTGTGCCACCAGGGCACCCCCCCCCTGAACAATTCTTCTCTGTTCTTCCTGTGGCTAGCTCCTTCCCATCTATTAGGAGTTCTCTGACCCACTTTATGAAGAGTAAGTGCACGCCCACTTTGTCTCTACCCCAGGCCGTAGCTGTCATTGCCACGCACCTACCACAATTTGCAGTGTATTTATTTACTTCCTTTTTTCTATTCTCCACTAAGATACAAGCTCAGTAAAGAAGGAATCATGTCTGTCTTGTTCATAGTAGAAACAGCATGAACTAGCAAGTGCTTGGCATAAGGGAAGTATGGAATGTTTTTTTGAATACATACATGAACAAAATGCTGATTCTGATTCCCTGAGGGATTCTAAGGTGATTCAAACCTCTCTCTCTCTGCTTTACATCCCACATGTTCCTTTTGCTCTGGCTAATTCCAAGCTTTCACAGTTTTCTAGACATTCCAGACTTTACATACCTCTGTGCTTTCCTTTTCCTTGTTTCCTATTTAGAAAAGTCTTTTATGGAGCTAAAAACTTGGCTTAACTTATTATCTTGTCAAAGGGGTAGGTTTTCGATGTCCCTTCTCTCAATACTGTTTTCTGAGCACAGACTACACTTTCTGTAACAACTGTTACATGCCCATTTCCTCTGTAGGTTTTAAGTGGCTGGCATTTAGGGAACCTTCATCATTTCAGTTCCCACCCTCAGCCCTTAGTCCAGTGCCTGGTACATCGTAGTTATTTGATAAATATTGGTTAAATGAATGAATGGCTGGATGAACAAAAGAGAAAACAGAGGGCATATTAGACAGCACCAACATACTCAGAAACATACCTAATTAGCTACGTGACTCGTAACATGTTCCTTAGACTCCTTAAGCATCCATGTCCTCATTTGTTAAATAAAAAAAAAAACACAATAGAACCTACCTTTGATCATTTTAAAATTCAAATAAGATAACATATGTTGTATTAATGAGGGTTCTTTAGAGAAACAAAGCCAATACAGGGTGTGTGTGTGTGTGTGTGTGTGAGAGAGAGAGAGAGAGTGTGTGTGTGTGTGTGTGTGTGTGTGTGTGTGTATAAAGAGATTTACTTTAAGGAATTGGATCAAGTGATTGTGGAGGCTTAATGAGTCCAAAATCTGATAGAAGAGTCTGGCCAGCTGGAGATTTAGGAATTATAGTTCAAATCCAAAGACAGTTTGCTATAAAACCAGGAAGAGTTGATGTTGCAAAGGATGTCCAAAGCCCAAACACTGGATGATTCCCTCTTGCTGGGGAGATGGGGTGGGACCAACCTTTTGTTTATTTGGGCCTTCAACTGTTTGGATGAAGCCCACCTACATTACGGAGAGCAATCTGCTTAGCTCAGAGTCTACCAATTTAAATGTTGTAAACCTCATCCAAAAACACCTCATAGAAACATCCAGAATAATGCTTGACCAAGTATCTGGGTACTGGGTACCAGCCAAGATAAAATTAACTATCACATATTTAGATCATTTAGTACAATTTCTTAGATATAGGAAATACTCAAAATCAGACTCCTTAGTCTAATCCTACGTCTTCACTCATGTCTGAAGGTCTGGTGTCATGAGAACATGTGTGTCAGGGACAAGGGCTTGAGGTCTCTTGCTGGATGGGACGACATGACTTTCATCCTTCCTCTGCTCTGGAGTCTCTCTGCAATTGTCTACATGTCTTATAAACAGTCTATATAAACTACACATCTTATAAACAGCATGGATAAGACATACTTCTTGGTGTACAGTAGAAAAGGGACAGAACAGAAATGTGAATGGGGAACATACCGGTGTAAAATCATACATCGCCATGGCCTAGCTCAAAGGCCTGGTCATGTGCAGTTCCCCAAAGCAGTTCAAGAAAAGAGCTATAGTGCCATGTTCATTCTTTCTCAGAGGAGGAGGCGAAAGTCATAAACTACTTTTTTCTTTAATCTCTCTTAAGGGAATTTCTGCCTGGCAGTCAGTGTCTTGAAGAGGACTCAGGCATATATGCATGGAATGGACTTTCATAAAACTCCCAGAGCAAAAAGCTCTCATCAGATTGAGGTGGGGGTAATACATTATGATGGCATCCACACAGCCCCAGTAAATTTATTTCCTGGACAAGTCGAACCCTTCACTAAGCTGTGACCAAGTCCAAAAGGTAAGATGCCCCCACCATGACAGGACCATAAAAGGGAGTCCATTGATATAAGTCTTTAATATTTCACATCCAACTAAGGGATACTATTAAGTGACACTGATTTTTGTTACAGTGAAGATGGTAGGTTGCCATTTCTCATTTATCTCTGCCCATGAACCACTGCAAGAACCCTGACCTGTGCCCAGTGAAAGATGCCTTTTGGCAGAGTGGAATTAAACTCAGTAGGAAAACCTGGATCAAGAGGACTGGAAATGAAACACTTAAATAACTGTACTGTCATTACCCTCATTAGCTTTGAACTAGCATTATATACACACTTGGATGGAATTCACTGTAGGATTAATCAAAAACTTCACCTCAAAATCTAAATAGTTGACATGATGTTGTACTTGCAAATGAGGCAGCAAAAGACCATGTTGTTTAAGATGCTTTATGATATTTTATTTGATATTACTCAATCATGCGGATTTTGCGGTAAATGTGCATTTCTAAAAGTGCATAATCAAACATTTATTTTTCTAGGTCTTACATTTTTCATAGAAATATACCACAGATTGTTACTTAAAGATATGTTACTTATGGATTCATATTGAAATATACCACAAAAAAGAGATAAATGAATTTATATGATGCTATTTGTTGATTATGAAAATAGAGAAATACAAAAATAGTGGCAATAACAGAAAATATATATTTCTTTTTATTTGATTACCTTTTAAAAAATTAAACACTAAAATAGAGAGTAGTCAAATAGGTTTTGCCCACTTAATATATATTACCAATACTATATTTTTCACTCTTGAATAATGAAGCACATGGCCCACTGCTGTATAATTTGGTCTTTGTTCAAACATTAATTGCTATAATCATGAAGGCTACTATTAGAAGCAGACAGAGCAGATCTGTGCACAGCAAAAGAGTAGCTTTAACCAGAATTCCATCCTAATATCTTGTTTTGTTAGGAACATAGTTTAAATATTTAAAGAAGAATATCATGTTGATTCATTGGTAGAGTTTGAACACCCACCTCAGGCTTGAATGGTGACTAGCAGAGTGATACGAAGGATTACTAAATACTATCACTTTGAGGTTCTAGCCCCCCCCCCCCCCACACAAAGAAGCTATTTTTAACAAAGGGGACTTAAAAAAGTTTTGCAAATCCTCTTTGGCTTTCTTCTCCTGCCACGGTAAATAATCATTTGACTTTCTTCATTTGTGCTTTATGGAACTAATTACATTTGCTTAGAAACAGGGTTAAAATTAAATGTAATTTTTAATTATAAAATGTTTCCTTGGAAACATTTTCTTGTAAGTTAAATGGTACTTTGTTCTAAAATACTTAATTTCACTTACAATTAGAAATCAAAGACAGAGCACAGCACCAGGCTATTTGGAAATACTGCATTAATTGCCACAAAAAAGTTACTGTTTTTCAAAATGGACAACTGATGGTGAATGTCCAATTAACTGCTACGCAGTTATTTAGCAAGTATTCTCACAGGAGAATTATTCTATTTTATGACCATTAATTGCATGGCCACTGGCAGTAGACATTTTTCAAAATTTGGAAATTTATTTAGAAATTACATTATTCACTCAGAATTTTTTTTTTGAAATTATGTATTTGTTTCAATTTAGAAAGAGCTGAACATAATGATCACAGTTAAAAAGATCAGCATACTAGGCGACCTCAAAGTTCCCAGCAACTGTTTCACAAATCACCTTAACACACCAGATTATTCACAGCTAAGGGCAAGCCTCTCTTTGGTTCATAAGGTGTTGTCCTGGAAACCATTTTGATGCAGTCGATAATAGGGCAGACGCTGAGACACAGGGTACAGCCCGTACAGGAGTCAGTAATGGTGGGCAGGTGGGTTTCAGGATCAAACTGTATAGCCTGCAAATGGAAATAAAGAGTATTGCTGTCACTGACCAAAAAGGTCAAGAACGCCCCCCTTTTGGCATCAACCTTTTTCTCCACCGCAGTAGAGCGGAGCTTGGAGACAACGACGCCCAGCACTGCGTGCAACTATAGCAACAGTTGAGGTGCCAAAGGGAAAACAACAACAACAACAACAACAACAACAACAACAACAACAACAACGGCACAACAGAAAAGAAATCCTTTTAAATTAGAAATACATTGTTTAAACTTCCTTGGAGACATTTTTCTTGTGTTGCGTGAGGGAACTATTTCATACCAGTTAAGTCTCTAGTTTCCTTTGTTCTGAGCAGAGCTCGGGTCCTTCCAGTCCTATCAGGATGGGGTGTCTGCTACCTGAGGATGGTGGGGTGCTTTCTCTCCTCATGCTCCTCGCTCTCGACAGGGAAAAAGGGTCACTGTCAGATGGAGCAAGGAATGTATTTGCTTGGATTTCAAATTATGCATGTAGTTTTTAGAAGAAAATAGGAGTTAAAAAAAAAAGTTAGCTTAAGAGCCAGTTTTGAGGTTTGAGGATTTCCAAGTAAACAATTCCTGGATTCTGACTTTTGTCCTGTTTCATATAAAACGTGTTATCATCCAATTCAAAATAACTTTTTTTTGTTAAAAAAAATTTCCTTCCCCCAATTGAAGCTACTTGTAACTGTAATTGTTTCCTCTTTTATGCACATAAAAGACAAATGGCTTCATTAGAGTAAATTATGTCAGAATGCTTAATATAAAAAAAAAAGGCTGATCTTTAAGGAAACAACCATATTATAACTGAAGAAGTGACAAACCATAAGAAACTTTGTTCACATAAATTGTTGTCATTTTTAAAAATAAAACAACATCTTGGATGACTGTGTGAATGAGTAAAAACTATTTCTCTTCCTTATGTACCCTTTTATAAATAGAAACTCAAGAAGCAATTGAAAATAAAATAATGCTTATCTTAAAAATTTCATACTTAAAAATTTGCAGACATAAAACTTTATAATCAGTTGAAGACTTTTTCTGTTTTTTTTTTAAATCTTCTTGAGACAGAAGAGTCAAAGGAGTACTTAAAAAACTTTTTAAAGCAAAATTGTGATTTTTTTCTCATTAATAAGGGTTTTGGTGGGGGTTGTTTTTATTTTTGACATTGTACCAAGGCTAGAATTTTACGGTAAGGAGTCATAACTTCTTTTCTTTTTATATTTTTTTAAAGTTCATTTATTTTTTTGAGAGAGAGAGACAGACAGAGAGAGAGAGACACAGAGAGAGCATGAACAGGGGAGGGGCAGAGAGAGAGGGAGAGAGAGAGAATCCCAAGCAGGCTCTGCACTATCAGCATTGAGCCCAACTTGGGGCTCAAACCTACTAACCGTGAAATAGTGACCTGAGCTGAAATCAAGAGTCGGACACTTACCTAAGCCACCCACGTGCCCCTGTAACTTCGAAGAATGGAGATACTAGAGAACTGCTATGATTTTGGTGACAGGACTTATTAACTCATCTCTGATTGGTTAATTAGAGGAAAGCCAAGATGAAAGTCAGTGTGATAGGATTAGCATTTCCAAAATAACTGTTAGAGACACCTTTCAGCTATATTAAAAAAAGTGATATGTTGAGTAAAAATTTGGCATAGAGCTAATGTCAAATTAAAGAGGAAGATTTTTTAAAAATTTCAATATGTCTGTTATATCTCTTAATTAGGTGGTCAGAAGAATATGCACAATCCCACCACGAGCAACATGGGATCTTCCTCCAGGCTGAGTTTAATAAAGTTCAATTTTTAAAAATAGTCTATTTTATCTATCTTCAAAATTCCATTAATCATCTTTAAATGTATTATTTTACTTTACTTCTTCATAGCTGGAAAAGCGTAATGAAAACAATATTATTCTGTAGTTGTGAGACTGAAGACAGCTGAATCCCTACTTTTCCTGTGTCACCCCCTGGCAGCTTCTCAGATGAAGGGTGAGGAACTGGGATGAATCCATGGCTACTGCATGTGATAAGAATACAACTTGCTGGCTTCTCCAGCCACAAAGGAATTCCCAGTCCCAACACCTGGCCTGATGGGAAAGTGCTTTTTCTTTCTTACGGTAGTAGAAGCCCAGTCAATACTGGACAGAAGAGAATTCTCTTTTGGTAGAAAGAATCAAGTCCTTTCAGGGTGATGGCAATAAATGGTAATTCCTTTCCCTTCCCTCTGTATTAAAGCACAACGCTTCCTAATGTGCATGACTGTGTGGATTTCTCTTTGGGTTGGATTTTTCCATCCAGTTTTATGGGTAATAAAATATTTTAAAAAAACACTGTACATTGAATGGTGGCACAGTTAGTATAAGTTATGGCTTTCTTTTGAAAAAAATTACTATGCCCAGAGGGCGAGGGGACAGACATACCACTGCTGAGGAACAGTATTGGGCACGTCTGGTCTGAATTGCACACCTAGCAACAGAAGATGCTTTCCGCTAAAAAACCAGAAGAAACATGCCTCACAGCATCCTAATTACAGTAGAATTCTTACCTGGTAGCCAGAGTCATTACAGGTCATGTAGCATTTGCCACAGTTGATACACATTTCTTCATCGATCATGGCCACAACTTGCTCGAGGTGGCTCAGTTCCCCAAAAGTTCCAAGGTACTGCAGTGCTTTTCCAATTACATCCTAAAACATAGGCACTGAATTACTTACAGTGTTCATTGTAAAACATTGCCATGTAATAATTACTATCAGTCCAGAGTTCTCTGTTGTTGGTTTTTTTTTAATGTTTATTTTATTTTCGAGAGAGACAGAACATGAGCAGGGGAGGGGCAGAGAGAGAGGGAGACACAGAATCCGAAGCAGGCTCCAGGCTCTGAGCTGTCAGCACAGAGCCCGACGCAGGGCTTGAACTCACAAACCGTGAGATCATGACCTGAGCCCAGATTAAATGCTTAACCAACTGCGCCACCAGATGCCCCGTTTTTTTTTTTTTAATATATAATGTTGCATTATGTAACTTAGGAGGCTTTCAGTAGTATAGTTCTTGTAGTTAATGCTTTTCATAATGGTAGCTTAAAAATTTTTGTCTTCTGAAAGATAGGCAAAATGTGTGTGTGTGTGTGTGTGTGTGTGTGTGTGTGTGTGTGTCTGTGTGTGTGTGTATGTATCCAGCTTAGAAACACAAGACCTAATTGGCTGCTTTCCATAGGATTTCTTTTTTTTTTTTTTATATGAAATTTATTGTCAAATTGGTTTCCATACAACACCCAGTGCTCATCCCAAAAGGTGCCCTCCTCAATACCCATCACCCACCCTCTCCTCCCTCCCACCCCCCATCAACCCTCAGTTTGCTCTCAGTTCTCAACAGTCTATTTTCCATAGGATTTCTACCAGATGATCTAAAATAGTGTTTCTGCGGACAGAAGAAATGACACCCTTTTCAGCGGTTGTAGCTTACCTTTTCCCAATTTTGAACTTTGAAGGATGTAGAAGTAATAAAAAGCACAAAAGGGTAACACACTTAAACTAGAAAACTTTAGATTGCTAGTAATGAGGGGAATAAAAATGTGAATGCTATGCATTTGTATCACTGCATTTGGGTTCCAGATTTTCATTTAGAAAAGTGCTTTGATAGCATACCCACCTGTCATGTCTTGAAGAGTATATTTCATTATTTAAAAATTCTAATTTATGTTAATTAATTAGATTCATCTAATAGCTAAATAAGATGCTGCTCTTTTACTTTTAAAGAACTAGGATTTTCTTCTTTCACCGCTGACGATTTTTCATGTGGTTACACATTGCTTTGTTCTTCATATTAATTGGAAGTGTGCTTAATATGTGAAGCACAGAAGATGTTTCATCAACAATAAGAAATACTTTCTTTCATAAAACAAAAACAGAAGGATGTAACAATGTTTGTCAAATTAGTATGCTGTTAACATTTTCTGCTTTTGTCTTTAACTTTTTACCAAGAGAATATTTTGTTCGAATTCAAGGTCCACATTCAAGGAGGTCTGACTCTTAAAGCAATCTTCCTATATTCTCTTTGGCATTTTATTTTCTGTTCTTCTCTTTATGACCCTGGTTACCCTCGTTTTACTTTTTTCTCCATTTCAAGCTCTAAATGACAATATGCTGATGACTTGGAGTTTTCAAACCGAAACAAGGTTTACATTATAATATGTACTTCATTTGTTCATCTCTCTAGTAGGAGCAAGGTGATAGAAAATTTATAAGACTCTTCACTATTTTCTTTTCAATGTGTTGAAGATATAATTTCAACTGTACTGCAGTCTGTCTGTAGGTGGGCACTTGATGTCCAAATCAATATCTCTATTCAGAATCACTCTCACAAACTCAAGATCTACATTTGTCAGCTTCACGACAGGCATTGTTACTAGAAATTGGTAACACAGATTCTCCACTCACTAAACTTATCATCAACACTGCAAAACTGGGTCTTCCTTCTGACTTCCTTCATTTAAAAAAAAAAACAATTTTTTTAATGTTTATTTTTGACAGAGAAAGAGAGACAGAGCATGAGTGGAGGAGGGGCAGAGAGAGAGGGAGACACAGAATCTGAAGCAGGATCCAGGCTCTGAGCTGTCAGCACAGAGCCCAACGTGGCGCTCGAACTCACAAACCGTGAGATCATGACCTGGGCCGAAGTCGGACGCTCAACCAACTGAGCCATACAGGCGCCCCGTGACTTCCTTCATTTTGTCAACAGTGGTAGGATTTTTCCAATCACGGAGGCTTGAAATTTGAGAGTGTGATCTACTCCAATTTCTCCTTCCTCCAGCATCTCATCTGTGGTCAAGTCTTGTGAGTTCTGGATCTGCAATATCTTTTGAATCTTCTTTCCAAGTCGGCTACAATCTGGAACCATTGCTCATTAGTTTTCTGTTACCTCTAATTCAGTTAAGAGCCTGTGTGATGAGTCTCATGCTCATAGTATTCCGTTGCCATTCCACCCTATGCAATGTTGTCATCTTAATCCAGGCAGTACAGCATGGACTCAATTTCTCACTACCTTACTCAAAAATCTGTTACGTTAAATACAGTCTCACATCTAAGTCTGGCATTTAAGGCTTTCTAACAATGTCTTTTTTGGTCTTATTTATCGCTTCCAAATACCACGTGTTTCAGCTACACTGAACACACTTGTCAATGGACTCCTCTGGAACTTAATTTTATGTTGAGGTTATCTGTCTAGGATACCCTTCCTTCTCATCCCCACTTTGAAAACTCCTACCCATCCTTCAAAGACATCTGACATGCCACTACTTCATGAAGATTTCCTCAATCCTTCTTTTGCCTTTCCCAACCAAATTGAAGATGTAATCTCTTTGTCTCTTCCTCTTTTTCCTTCATCTCCTCCTTTCCCCCTGACCTCTCTTTCTCCCCTCCCCATCTTTAATTTTTTTTTTTTCAACGTTTATTTATTTTTGGGACAGAGAGAGACAGAGCATGAACGGGCGAGGGGCAGAGAGAGAGGGAGACACAGAATCGGAAACAGGCTCCAGGCTCTGAGCCATCAGCCCAGAGCCCGACGCGGGGCTCGAACTCACGGACCGCGAGATTGTGACCTGGCTGAAGTCGGACGCTTAACCGACTGCGCCACCCAGGCGCCCCTCCCCTCCCCATCTTTATATTCCCCCTAGTGACCTATAGCATTTTATCTATTATACGGGACCAATGATAGCAGACAACTTTTGAGTTCTTTCTATGTATCAGACCAATGCCACGATTTTAAAGCACTGTCTCATTTAAACCTCAACACATTTTATACGTGATGCAGTGAATCAGATTTAAGGTACAAAATTAAGTAAATAATGAAGCAGGGATTCAGACCAGTGCTGCATGACTTCAAATTCTATGGTCATAAGCACTGCTATGCTGACTCATCCACTATTTCTCTATTTAGCAAATTCTACTTCATGTTGTAGATAGTTTCTATATTTAGCTTCCTATATGCAGTCTCTTAGCAGGCTTTAATTCATCTTTGTGTCTCCTGTGGCATATCTTGCTCCTGCAGATCACTGAAACATAATGGGTACTTAAATATCTGTTAAAATAAATATAGCTTTCATTTATTTATGTGCTAAATATACAGTGTAATATTAGGCACATACTTGTATGGGTTAATAGATACTTGTTGATTTACTACTAAACATTTTTATTAGCATGAGAATCAAAAATAGATTTGAGCACTTATTTTAAAAAAGTATTTTTTTAAATGTCTATTTATTTTTGTGAGAGAGACACAGTGCAAGTGGAGGAGGGGGACAGAGAGGGAGACACAGAATCAGAAGCAGGCTCCAGGCTCTGATCTGTTAGCACAGAGCCCAATGCGGGGCTCGAACCCACCAACCGTGAGATCATGACCCGAGCCAAAGTTGGACACTTAAGCTACTGAGCCACCCAGGTGCCCCTGAGCACTTCTTTAAATGCAAAATAATCATAGTCAAAGTATCTGGACATGTTTAATATTTTCTAATAATGTTTTAAGGTAGTAAGTACATAAGGTCACTCGCCAGCTATAAAGCTATTTACATGTGATTTAGAAAATAATTTTTTCAATATAGGAAATAAATCAGTCAAAAATTTCTTTGTTTCATTGAATCAGATTACAGCTTGACTGAAATCACCAAAAAATATTCAAACAATGATTAAACAGGAAATTCCCTAGATAGTCATCAAAACCTTGAAGGCTTATTCAAAAGAAACAATGTATATTTTAAAAGATTTTATTTTAAGAGGCAAGTTCACATTCTGTGTATAGTAAATATACCTTCTTCTCTACATTGGAGATTTGCTGTTGTGATTTATTAAAACCCTATGCTTAATGTAAAACTAATAAAATAAGGTCTTGGAGCCTCTAAATTTTATCAGCACATGGTGTTATGTAGTCCTCATAGTTATTAAGACATTGTATATAGTTTTTTTAATCTGGAAGAGGTTAGCACAATGATAACTATTATAAACTATTTTGGAAAGAATAGCAAAGAAAATGAATTACCATACCATGTGCCTGAAAATGTGGACATTGTTTAAAACCCAAAGCTTCCATTTAGTACTGCCAGCTTATGAGTATCTTTGAATACACATCTAGAATTTGGAGTTCACTGAAAGACACATATAATAAGTAAAGGACATATGGCTGTTCTACTCCTCCCTGGACACACACCTACATTCATTATTCCAAGCAGGGTATGCATATACAAAGGTCAAGCAATCTGCTATAGCCATCCCTGGTTAGTGGAAATGTTTATGTGTGAATGTGCATGCGGAGAAAGTGATGCCAAATCCTTTAAAGTATAGATGACACATTTGATTTAAATTAAGTGTTCCCAAAATTAACATTGTCAAGGATTATAGAATTCCAGAATCACGTCTTTGTCAGTTAATTATTTCTTTGGGATAATCAAAAGTATTTTTAAAAACTGGATCAGTATGGGGGTGCCTGGGTGGCTCAGTCGGTTAGGAGTTTGACTCTTGATTTCCCCGAGTCGGGCTCTGCACTGACATTGCGGAGACTGCTTGGGATTCCCTCTCACCCTCTCTCTCTGCCTGCCCCTCTCCTACTCACATACTCTCTCAAAATAAATAAATAAACATTTAAAAAAGCCGAAATCAGTCAATATTTCTGTTTGATATAAATTTTTGGACCAAAGGGT